GATAGGATTATAGATCACTTGACTGTTAACCATCTTCTATCAGACTGTCAGCATGGCTTTATTGCTGGCAGATCATGCACCACTAATCTCCTGTCTACCTTGAATAATTGGACTCGCCTGCTGGAAGAAGGGAAGCCAGTGGATGCACTGTACCTCGATTTTGCCAAGGCATTTGATAGTGTTCCGCATGAGCGACTGTTACGTAAAGTGAATTCTTTGGGAATAGAGGGAAATGTCCAATGGATCAGGAATTTCCGAGTAAGACAACGTGTCAGCATTAACGGAACCGTATCAGACTGGGTAACTGTGCGCAGTGGCGTACCGCAAGGAAGCGTTCTTGGACCCCTTTTTGTTCGTCGCTTTTATAAACGATCTACCAGAAGCAGTGTCAAACGTGTGCTCCATGTATGCCGATAACAAAAAAGTTTATAATACAGTTAAGGATGTGTCAAATCAAATGCAACTGCAAAATGATCTTGATAGTTTAGTTGACTGGGCTGATGCGTGGCAGCTGCGTTTCAATGCTGACAAGTGTAAAGTACTTCACCTCGGCAAGAACAATGAACAGCATGCTTACAGCATGAGAAGACACGGTTGCAACGAGAGGGTTATGATTGAGAACTCTTGCGTGGAAAAAGATCTTGGAGTTTGGGTCGACAATGAGCTAAAATTTTCTAGGCATATTGAAACACAAGTTAATAAATCCAATAAACTGCTTGGGCTGATCAGACGCTCCTACGAGTACCTAGATATAGAAATGATGAAGCTGTTGTTCACCTATGTCGTGCGCCCGAACCTAGAGTTTGGAAACGTTGTGTGGTCACCGAGACTTGAAAAGGACAGAAATTTAGTTGAGAGTGTTCAAAGACGTGCAACAAGGATAATTCCAGGCTTAAAGGGCAAGTCTTATGAAGAAAGATTGAAGATTATGAAGCTTCCCGGTCTCCGTTATCGTCGCCTGCGTGGTAACCTCATTGAAGTATACAAGTATGCTCATGGTTTGTACAAGGTCCCAGAAGGATTACTAGAATTTGAAACAAGAACCAACACGAGGGGCCACAGTATATAAACTAAAAAAAACTGCGGTGCAACTTATCCACGCGACAACATTTCTTATCGCTTCGAGTCACTGACATGTGGAACAGCCTCCATGAAGATATTGTTGACGCTCCGAGTATGAACGCGTTCAAGAACAGACTAGACAAGGCCATGCAGGAGCATATGTTTAGTCGTAAAATGCCTCGTATCCTACTGAACAACTGAAATCTAGAAGCGATTTTAAATCTACCGTCCGTTGAAAAGACTTGATCAAAAGGCCAGTCTAGCCAAGAAAAGTACAAGAATCGGCGACAGGCCTTACGAGGCCTATTCTTCAATGCCGAAGATACTATACTATACTATAATCTTAATCGGGCAGAATTAAAATAGTTTATTATTATTAAATTTCCACTAATAGCTTGTTACGTTCACCGTCAGTATTGCACAGTTAGAGCACGAAATATATGAAAACCATTAATTCCCATAGGCGAAACGATATGCAGGGAACACTGGATATAGTCATTGGATTTCCAAGTATGAAAAAATGTTTGCGTAAGTTTGAAGTTGAACGACTTCTCTTTAGGGTAACGACTTACTTCACCAGTTTGAATATCTCAGATCTTCGCCAGGAGGATCTTTGTCATCATATCTTCATACGTGATATAGCACATGGTGATTAAATGTGCATGCTATGTGACTAGTGACCAGTTGAGGAAGTTGACTAACAACAATTATTCATCTGGAGTCATTTATCAAAACAAGGGACTTACAACGTATCAAATTTAACCTAATGCCGCACACGGCCTGGGTAACGCGGGATAAGGAAATTCCTGCCTATTAAGGTCAAGAAAGCGGACCAAAATGTTGGTCCCATTACGTCGGCCAGTTCAAGCTCGCGTATACCCGAAAGAAGAGCGTAGCTCCATTCCTGACGTTATTGCCTTGGGCGTGGTGTAAGGCTGTGCCACAATAGGGATACGAGAAATTATGGTATTGTATTAGCAATTAGGATATTCCAGATGGCTACAGCGGCACCCCTGCATGGTTAATGAATTGAGCAAATACATTACATTACGACGCAAGTTTTGGCCAAATTTACAGTACGCTGATCGGGCACAAGGCTCAAGAAGTTTTCTTACTTTCTAGTAAAAGCGCAGACAAGATATATTAAAATATAAATTTCTTCTACATTATAGAAAATATAATATTCCACGGGTTTCACACTCAAAAACCCATTGTAGTTTTACTGGCAAGGCAACTTTCGGCAGTTCAGTCAATGTCTGCGATTTAGGACGCGACTTGCGGTTGTTAATGCAATGATTTACCTGTCGTTAATATAGAATTTTTGTTTTTAGTCACGTGGTCATTTCAGGGGCAATTGTAAATTTCGGGCGTTATATACAAAGCCATATAGAGGGACCAAGTTCTGGGGTACAACGAGTAGAATTGGGCTCCAGGCAGCATTGAATATGCTGATCGACACGCTAGTTTAACGAACACATACCGAAGCAGGAAGCTGATCACGTTTTGTACCCATTATACCATTTCGACGAATAGCCAATTATATCGAAGAGATGGCCCAGGCTTTCCAAGAACTCGGAGAGGCTGAGTGTCAGCAAACGAAAGACAGATTTTGCGAGTTACCGACAAGGTTGACTGCATCCGTTGTTGTAGGGTAGAATTAAATATTTCTGTATTGTGTAATAGCCTGTCTCACGCTAACCTTATATCAAATAACGAGTTTGGAAGTTTATTTCTAAATATCTTTGTTCAATAAAATTAGGTTTTGTCTTTACGTTTAGTTAGCGGAGTTCCCGCTAACTGGCGAGCTGTCTTCCGTCAGCGGCGGGTAGATTCGAGAGCTTGTTTTTAGAAAGAGTTACACGCGACGGAGCTCTGAAGCATGTTACGCTGCTCTTGCCACGAGATGGTTTTAGTGTTGGACGTGTAACTGCCTAACTCTAATAAACTTTTAAACTGTGATCTGTGCTAAGTTTACCCTGAACCGCCGGAACAGACGACCCGACCACACCGTGTAGAACGATCATGAGACACGATCTACTTTGCTACCCTACCCTTCTGCCCATATATCTGACTGAATGGCAACCGGAAATAATTCGCCTCTGGGAAACCCCGACGCGGCTAAAATACAATTTAATCCTATAGTAAATTCCAATGATAATTATGAAGAGTCCAATAGCGATAACCGCCAGGTCAAAGGAACTGTCGAGTTAAATTGTACGAGATCGCGCAGTGGTAGGAAAATACGATTTAGAACTAACAACGATTACATTTCCTATAAATATTAAGATCTTCTGCGCAAGAGTAAAAATTCGAATCTATGGTATTAATGCACGTTTAGTATAAGCTCCGCTATTTTGGTGGGGATGTCGCGTTGTGCCCAGCGGCAATGTAGCGGGAGAACTTAGCTCCATATAAAGCTAAGTCGCTGGGTCTCTGCACGCGGGCCCTAATTAACGTACGTGGATCAATTAGAATAGATCAGCGAATTCTCAAGTACGACAAGGTTTATTTAATTTTCCAGGAGAACCTATGCATGTAGGTAGGTACACTATACAGTCCTTAAATACAGATAATTATAGCCATTCCCAAGTGTGGTTGTCCAGGCAAAAGTTGACTACCTACTCGAACGAACCCCTATAATGAGCATAATTTGTCATTTAGGACTAGTTTCCCAATCGTAGGGAGAAAACCGACATGTAGTCATCCGCTGTAGGAAGGCTGCAGCTAATAAATCTGGCTTCATTGCAGCCGAGTCTCGTCTGAAACGTGCGAGTGTCTGGTTTCTGTTCGACTTGCCGGTTATTACGTAGTGTGCCTTCAGCTCTTCTCATCTGCGTATATTAGTGAACTGTAAGTAATAATTGTCTCGTTAGACATACTTTCCTATATGATAAGTTAGTTTGCTTTTAGTCGTTCATACTGCCTACGTAAATGTCTTGATTGATTAAGCGGCTCCCCATGCTCAGTGAAAGTAATTAGGTATGCAATTCAATTTTCATTGTCTATCAATAGTCATTTGTATCACACCTGACGATCATGATCATCATAGTGTAAATAATTCTATAACTGGCTGTCATCTAAAGACGAATTGCAATGTGATGCAAAGCCATAGTGTGATACCAAAACTAACGGCTTCTTGCTTGCCAACGTTTATAGTCTCTCCGCGGCTTCGCCCACAGATTATAACTCGTAGTTACAACCGTAGAATTTGTTTCAGATACTATCGTTAGCTTTCTACGTACATCGAAAACTATTAAGCTTGTATAGCTATTCCTTGCAAGAACATTATTCTGTAGTATTTTCAAACATCTGGAGCGGTACCAACGCATAATTTCGCAAATTAGTTAATGACGGATCAATGGCTACACCAACTATCTGAAATGCTGAAAGAAGCACGACTCGATACATTGAATTTTTGCACTGTTCTCATTGATAATGTCTAGAGAAATTAGGACGGCAGTATGCCTAACGTACGAAGAATATTGTTTAACCATTAGTTTTTAGAAAATTCTGGCGACACCGACTATGTCGGTGGTGTGTCTATGTGCATTGATTATGGCAGTGGTTCCCAAACCTTTGTAGGTTGGCGCCCCTTAGCTCTCCATGTGAATTCCTAATGCTGCCCCGTGTTACCCTAATGTGATCCAAAATTTTACGCCTGTTTTTTTTTTCCAGATGCCAGGAATACCTTGCGGAAAGTGCAAGAGGTTTCTGTCAAGTGCAGCCCCGCCTCCGGCAGCCCTGCCTCCGGAAACTGAGCTGCAACTTCTCCACGCGACAAAATTTCTTCTCGCTTCGAATCACCGACATGTGGAACAGCCTCCCTGATGACATCGTTGGCGCTCCAAGTATGAACGCGTTCAAGAACAGACTAGATAAAGCTATGGAAAAATATATGTTCAGATTTGAAATGCCTAGCTCCTTATCGAACCCGGTGGTCTGATGGAATAGAGTAAGTCATTGCTCCAGCAATAACTTCAAGTGATAGATGTAATTTTTTGATAATTCATCATGGTCACGTGATCCATAAATTTAGACTCTATACGATGATGATAATAATAATAATGATGATAATAATAATGAAAATAATATTACCGGTTTAAGGTTTATTGGGCCGTATTCCTGTCGCCGATTCTTAACACAGAAATTTTGCGGTCTAGAGCTCTCAACTCACTGCTACAATACTGCTATGCTTAACCGCCCGGCCTCCTTGCCGATTCTGACCAGAAACTGGCACATTCTGAGCTGGGATCGAATGCATCTAATTATTTTAATTTTGTACGTTTTCAGTCACTTCCCCAACACCCGGAACAATAAGTTGACAAGAATTCTCAAGGGCGCATTGAAGGGCAACGGGCAAACGGCCTTCTTGTGCACAGTCTCTCACCATTCTCTTAATGAGACTGTGAATACTCTGAGGTGATCATCTCCTATTTAATCCTTTCGTAACTGCAATGTGTTCTACAACTTTTTATTCGTATTTTTCTACAGAATCATCATGAACTTGGACTGAATATTGCATATCCGTAAAAAATAATCAAAGATGTTAATGGTAAAAATTCTATAATTGGGACTAGAAAATCCCGGTAGTATCGGGTTCCAACTGAGGTGACACAATTTGCGACATCAATTTGCTAAAAATTTGCTAAAATTTACACAATTTGCTAAAAAACCATTATTTTAGCAATACCTTGAATTTAGCAATACCTGTAAGTTATAGAGTAAATCGTTGGGCGGGACGTCACAGTCCCGTCAGTCACGAAAGGGTTATTCGGTGCACTTTTGTGCTCGCCATGTCCGTCTGTCCGTCCGTCCGTGACTTCACGTTTTCGTCGACGAGAAAATGCGCTCTCTGTCACTCACTGCAGTGAGTACTAAGTAATATATATATTTTTTTGTGCGTGACAGATTCGGGTCTCACGCCAAGATCATAAAGAGGCAACTGAAGAGAGCGGGTAGCAAGGAGGAGTCTGCCAAGGAGGCGCTTGTCGTGAAGGAGCTGCGTCACAGTAATATACAACTCCAGAAAGAGTTGTTGGGTAAGTTTTTTTTTTTGTTAAAAAACGTGAGTTTTTGACTGCAATATTTTATGCGTAATTTTTATTATTAAACAAAAATGAATGAAAAATACCAATTGAAATTTTTCAATGTTGAGATATACATTCGTGTACATTTAATTTTCAATAAATTTATGGTGTTTTGATTGACAGAATAGAGATGCTGAAATCCAAAACCTCCGACAGCAGCTACTAAATAGTCAGAAGACTATATCCGAACAGGAGAAAAGAATTCAGGAGCAAGAAGTACAAATTCAAGATCTTCGACAGCAACTGAGGGTTGGCAACAACGACGCCCCAGTTGTTGATGACCCCGATGATGACTCCAATGAAAGCGCCCCATATGGAATCGGCCCCTATGATGACGACGACGATGAAAGCGCCCCAGTGGCGCAAGATGAGGTGGCGCAGCTCTCGGAAGGCTCCCGAGATAGAGCCCCAAGCCAGCCTGATTTACAGGTCCCGGGAAGTTCACGATCCCCAGGCCGGCTGGTCTTGCACCTCCCGGGATGGCCTCGCGATATGTCCGCAGGCCAGGTGGTGTTGCAGCAGCCAGTGACCTGAAATACACGCTCGTGGTAAGCTCCGATCCGCTGTTCTACCAACTATCCATTTCATTCTGGATACCCGCTATTTTGTAACATAAATTATTAAATCCTTACACATTGCTTATTTAGTTGGCTGTATGTGCAGATCGTTGAGTCACAGCCCGACAGTGACCAGGATGAGGACGACAGCCGTGCGTGTGATGTGCGAGTGGGTCACCTGAATTTCGTGGATCTCGCCGGCTCAGAAAACGTTGAGCAGGCTGGTCCCTCGGGCGACCGCCGGAAGGAGAGCGGCCCTATCAACAGGAGCCTATCCACGCTCACACGGGTTTTCCGGCAACTCTGTAATCGAGTGTGAGTAATCGCTACAGTAATATCTTCAAGTGATCGACATAAATTGTGAGGTATGCACTTTTATGGGACCTAGCTTGTAAAAAAATTCAATAGTTGCAAGTGATGGTTTCAATAAATTAATGCCGATAAATTTATGTGACGTCACGCAGCTGCTGTCCATGATAGGGCGTGGCGACCGAAACCGACAAGTGGCCAGCACAAAAGTCAACAAACGCAGCTCGCGCTCCCACGCAATGTTAAGGATCGTGAGTGCCCTACTTTTACGAGTGTCGTCTCAATGCTCTGTGGGCGCGCTCGCCAGCCCTTCAAGGGAACTATTCCAAGCATATATTCTTTAGTAATGACATGTAAGGCATAGTTTCTTACAATGCTTATTTAGTTGGCTGTGTGTGCAGATCGTTGAGTCCGATCATGATGAGGACGACAGCCGTGCGAGTGACGTGGCTGTGCGAGTGGCTCGCCTCAATTTCGTTGATCTTGCCGGCTCTGAAAACGTTAAGCAGTCTGGCACCTCTGGCGACCGACGGAAAGAGAGCAGCTCCATCAACAAGAGCTTAGTCACCCTCACCCGGGTTGTCCGACAACTCTGTAATCGAGTGCGAGTAATCGCTACAGTAATAACTTCAAGTGATAGATGTAAAATTGTGAGGTATGCTCTTTTATGAGACCTAGCTTGTAACAAATGGAAGCTTGATATCAGAGTTGCATCGAAAAGTTTCAATTTAGTGAGTTTCCAGATCCTTCTTCAGCTACCGTAATTCTAAACTCACGCCCATCCTGCAGCGTTCCTTAGGGGGCAACGCGCGTACAGCAGTTATCTGCACAGTCAAGCCGTTTTGTCTGGAGCAGACGATGTCAACACCAAGGTGATCATCTCCTTAGTAGTAGTGTGTTGGTAACGGGCCGTGCGACTACGTCTTCGGGCCCGAAAGCACTCAGACAGACGTCTTTGATGCAGTAGCGGATCTAGTTCAGTCCGGCCTTGACGGTTTAACTTATGCAGACTAGCGTACGGGCAGTCAGGGGCTGGAAACCCTCACAATTATTGGAGAGGGGGGGGGCGGGGTAGATTCTGGAATCATTCTAAGGCCCGTGAAGGCAATCTTCGCCGAGATTCGCAGGCTGACGGAGCAGGCTGGCAGTACGCTCTCGAATCTAGTATGGTGGAAATCTACAGAAAAAAAACTTCGCCACCGCACAGTTTCCCACTTCGTCGATAATATAGGTTCATTAAATTGGCCAGTAGCGCGGGGTAGATATGCTGGCCAGTGGGTGACTTTACCTTGATTGAACATTTCAAATGTTCCTAATTAACTTTTGATTTCTGTCAATGTGTAATCGAAAACAGAGTTTGCCTGACATGTCCGTTTCAAGAGAAAAAGAACGTCGCCGGAGAGCCTCTCCATCTCCAACCATATATGCGTGACCGCACTCGCCGTGCACCTACACGACATCGAGGAAGGCTGTGATGAAGAACTATATAAAGCGGGATGCACGAGCACAGATTCGTGTGCGGGTACAGCACCTTTTGGCCTGGTCATAAGGCCACCCATGCGAGCAATTGTAAGTATGACCAAATTAATTGTACATATATTTAGTTGAAATGAATATTTTTGTACGCTATTGATTCAGTCGTGTACTATGGCGCTTCATTGAAATTTTTTTCAGCCTGCTTATTCCCGTCGAGGTTGATCAACCGAAGTTGTACCACGTTAACCTATTTAAAAAGTAATACCGCCGCGACAATCTACCCGATTTGTTCAACTACTTCGAAGCAGACAAATCCCCGGTGTCAGCTTTCAGGAACTGTGCTCCTACCGTAGTCCGTTTTGCGGATTGCAACTGGCCAAATTCTCAACTTGACTCCAAACCAACTACCAGTTAACTTCAGACAAAGATCACTTATCCATGGAAGTTGGAGATTTTGCTACATTTCAAACGAGGGAATATGCTTGGATATCGTCCTGCGTCACAGCCCGCCCGTCCTCGTGGGGTGACAAAACATTTAGACCTTTTAGCCGTGGATTCGGATGTGCGCGCGAAGAAGTTGTTCAGGTGACGACGTGCAGGAGAAGGGCGAGTTACCGGATTATGACATTCGTTTATCTTCCACCGTAAGTAAGTGTGGATATGCTGATGTGGCGTGTGATGTGAACGACGGTGACAGTGAGCGCGACGCAGGAAATTCATGCAACTAAGTGCAAAGGGAGGAATCGTTCAGTAAACGCATGAACGAGGGTGATTTGGCTCAGATTTTTTTATGATTTGAAATCTAAGTACCATTTATTAATGACCTTGCAAGACGTCGAAAATGAAGTTATGTCCGAGCAGCAATCCCAGTCTGGATGTGAAAGAAGTGCGCTCGAATGGAGTTTTGATCAAGATGTGGAAGATGAAAGTGACTGAGGAACATGCGGTAAAGTTTAGAGTATCGACCCGGGAAGATCAGAGTGTTCCATGTAAGCCAATAGATTTGCCTGAGTCAAGTTCTGCGGTATTGGTGACTGCAAGTGAATCTAACAATAAGCCTAGTTTCTCAGGAGATAGTTTCATGCTATGGCTGGAGCAGTCATTTATTATCTGTCCAGCAAGACATGTTGAATAGAGTACTGACTGCGTCGGAGAGTTGAATGATGGATGGATAGATAGAAAGTGTTTCTGATTTAATTGAATTGGGTGAGATATCTAGTGGAAATTAGAGAAATAATGCGTTTAAGGCTATGGTTGATCATTTGATGTACATGCGTGAAGTTATCAAAAATTATAAAGAGGGCACAAGTGAACCGTGGCGGGATGAAAAGGTGGCGGCGAGCGTAATGTTTCGCAAGCATGACTAACTTGATGTTAGCAGTGTGATACATTCATGCTAGCAAAGCACGCTGTAATATCTTTGAAGGTACCGCACTGATCGCGCTATTTCTTTCGTCAATATTGTAGGCGTTTCGTTTAGTTTGAATCTAAATTTGTTGCCGATAAAATTTTTACATGCATATTATTGATCACTGAATTTAAATAATGCACTTGAAGTCATGGTCTTTTAACTTACATGATTTACTGTGATAAGAAGCGTTTTAGGTGAACATAAATAGTCTCGAAATGTTCTATCTGAAGTGATGTGTGTCCTAGGTAGTAAAGTGATATATACTTTGAAATATAGATTTAATGATGTGCAATAAATTATCCTTGTTCATTGAGTAAAGTTTTCGGGATGAATAGTTCCTAGAAATTATAAAGACTTACAGTTTAGAGTTAGCGTTTATCGCCGTGGTTTGTTGATGTGATAAGCAGTTCAATTTGTATTAATTTTAGTTTGATTTTTTTTCGAAACCTGGAATTGTAAATACTTTGTGTAATATATTTTAAATTTTTTAAATGTCTAAATTTAACGGTGTCAGGGTTTCAAGTGCAATATTAGCAATTGCACTTAGTTGGGGGCAATGTTAGGGAATAGTATAAATTTATTCGTATTTTATAGCAATGATTATCCAATTTTCATTTATATTTTTTATTACGCAATTTAGGTTAAGTACATGTCCAGGATTTTATTTTGTCATGTTTTAGTTACGCACTGGCAAGGACTACAGGGGCACAACGAAATTGTACAGATCTGTTTTACTGAATATATTGTGAACCCGGTGTGTTATTTGAACAGAAACCCTTTCCTGACCGTTTGAGATAAAGAAATAAAGAGGTAGTCCTCCAGCACCTCCTAATTGTTCATATATTCAACTTTGTCATGTTTGCATAGGCAATAGACGTTTCTTCTGGAAATTTTCGCTGCATGTTAAAATTTTCGCTCCCTGCATGAAGTCGCGAGTGCAGAATTGGTGGCTAAAGCGCGGTTATATCTGTGTGAATTTGAAGTATAAAATGAAAGTTTGCTCAAACTCGCTTTGATTAATTTAATTAGAGTTTTGTGTTACCCTTCAACCCCCGCAAACGGCCATTTAGATGCAGCAAGCCAGCTTGCCGTGTGCTGGCTACTCGGTTGTTGCGGTATCGCTCCCAGTAACGGGCCTGCGTCTAGTGTGTTGGTAAGGGGCCGTGCGCCTATTGTTTATATAGTTACACAT